AGAGATTTGAGTTTACCTCTCTATAGATTACCCGATTTATCTTTGTGCTCCATAACCAGTCTTACATTTCTATCGAGTCCAGACGAAACATGGTGTGCTAGTTATGCACAGAGGTGTCAGTTTGCGTAACAGTAAGCGATTTGGTATGCATTCGGAGAATAGTCTCGGTGTGAATGAAATATAGCTTGCTACTCACCAGCGACTAGGCATCATTCTTTGGTGGAATAAACCTAAGGGTACGTGTGGGAGTCTGTGTCACATAACATTCCTTTAACTGCACTTGTTGTAGGCCGTCTAGTCTGCTTTCTCTCTTCTTTGGGTTTCACTGAACTATTCATTCGCTCGATAAGAAACTCAAGTGCGAAGCGGGAGTGTACAGGCGCATTGGTTTCGTTCAGTTTAATCGCTTCGTTCCCGGTAAAGTGCTGATGCGGTTGCTTGATATCGATGTGTCGCTTCCGATGCAAATGATGATGTCTCAATACCCCCACTCCACCCCACCCTGACCGTCTGCCATATCGAACAAACCCAACTGTCTGGTGAGAGATGAAAGTGTATTATTACACACACTTTGACTGACCTCATCTGTGACCTTAGTATGTGGCTAAGTTTTTGGAGGAATACTTGCACACACTAGTAAATACTCTCACCTCTGAATGAAATCAGACCAATCCACGTATAAACACAGTCTTGCAGGTTGTGTTTATACGTGGAAAGGTTAGATGTGCGACCTGGAACACAATGGGGCCTTCAGCTCACCTCTTACGCGGAAAAAGTCGACTACGGAGTAAAACATCCCCGAATGGTGTTGGGAACAGAACTCCATATTCTGCTTCCGTGAAACTCTAGGTAGTACCCATGGAACTGACTTCAGCAGGAGACAGTCGAATAAATAAATAAATGAATGCATGCATACTTTGATTTCTCTACGTACGTATGCATGTAGTACATACCTAACTCAGTATGCGTTCACTGCGGTAATTCTCCAAATAGCGCCAGACTGGTGGCTGTCACTGCAATATTCAGTGCACTGTTATACACGCTTCCGATTTCCAAACAAATATCAGATTATCTTTTCGTTTAAAATACACTTGAGAGCGGTACATCTTTCTCACCTTTGTTCAGCCTAGCCTGCGAAGTGACTCCGTAGACCCAACAACTAAGATTCGAACCCCAAACTGCTTGGCTATTAGCACGTTTCATCACCAGTTATTGCCGAACCAGGTGCCAACCCCTTCGGAACTTTGAGGGGAAGTTATTTCGGTTTCCGAAAATACATTGCGCGCAGCGACTACACAAATCATCCGGTTTTTTTTTAAAAAAATGGAGTTCGGTTTCTCGGGGTCATCGATGCCATATGCTACCGACTTTCAATCGGCTATTTACTCGGATACTCCTTGTTCGTTGTTTTGAGCAACACTGTCAGATGGGACGCTTTCAATTCATACCATTCGTGTGCATTGAGCACATCTGCTCCACATGTTCTCAGTCTTACATTTACTTTGTTTCATATTAATTAGATGACAGTTTCTTTTTTCTGCCTGTTGCATTATCTTCATATCTTCTATGTTATCTCTTATACGTACAGACTGAACAGCATTTTTCAGCACTAGACGGTTTTCAACCCAACGTGAGCTGTCATTGTTGACAAAACTACCCCCACACTTACTTCTCATCCACAATGATGTCTTGTCGTTTTTGGCCGTATCCAGTACAAAGTTAGTTACACCACTCCCGCTCTTCAGGCTCTGGCTTGTTGTGGTTCTGCTTGTCTGTGCCTTTTTCGTCGACACCAGTTGTTTTTTCATCCTTTAATACCGCAGAGTTCAATTATTGTCTTAAAAACGGTGACTAAAATTTAGAACTCCCGCTCTACAGGTGTTCACTTTAGGTTCTTTTCTGCTATTGTTTTTTTTGTTATCCCTACGTGGTGGTAGTTGGAACCTTTTGGTTTCTAAAAGGTGTCCGGGTGTGTAGTGGACTAAAGATCACAGAAATCCATATCTGTATATTTTCTCTTTACCAGTAACTAGTCCGATTAATTCTATACAACATGCTCTCACATTTCCTCATCGTTCAAACCAAGCCGTGCTGATATGGAATTCCGAGTCCTGTTCGTCCTCCTATCGAACCAATCGAAGCGGAAAAAGTGTGAGTGTATGGTATGGTATACTACACATGCATTCGATTAGCACGCGTAAAATATGAAGCTTGTGAATCTCAACGGTAACTCCCATTGACAATGCGGCGTGGGCGACGGTAAACTCTGAGTCACTCACCAGTTTGTGTAAAGAAAACGCTGCGCTCACCGCGTTGCTACGTCGCTAATAATACCACATCGCTTATTGTCAAAGTCTGTGAACAAGTGAACTCACCAACGGAGGAGAATGGTGCACCGATACTGTCTAGCATAGATACTGGCCTAAATAATGTAACCATGTAGTAGTCTACTCAATGCACGGTCACCGTTGTGTGAGCGGCTGATTATGGTTGCGATCGCTTGAAAATGAGGTAGGTCACCGATACCGCACCTTCGCCTATCTTACATGGTTTGAACAACCATGGTTTCTTTTGTTCACAATTCATCTCAGTTCAATGCTCAGTATGATGGTTTTTGAAACCAAAATCAATTCAACACACCAGTGACACCCCTTGCACACATACACACACACACACACACACACACGTTGTTATTGATTTTTTTTGCGTGAACGCATTTGTCGGTCTGTGATAGTTGAATTTTCAATTGAATCCATTTGCCCAATTGATGATTATGGAGCACTTACGATAACGAGCGCCCCTTGACGTGGTTTGATGACTTGTACTCACCTCTGTGACTCAATAAGCTACTCAGAATGGTTTGCATTAACTCGAAGATCATCTAATCATGCCTGGAGGGTTGAAGGGTGGTGGTGGTCAAATAAAATCCAGTCTCTCGGTTCTTTGTTTTGAGCGATTGAGTCAAAGTGGAGTCCCAATCGGCCGGTCGGTCGACAAAGGATTAATTGATTCAACTAGGTATACCTCTGCTTCACCTCACCCACCGCGTTGCGGCCAAGTTCTTGTCAATACCAATAGTATTACTCAAGCATCCCTATCTTTATTTCATTTGTGTCTTCTCTCCAGAACCACCTCGTTTCGTGTCACCTGGTCCACAATATCATTTGTCCAAGGCCGTTGTCAAATAGCACGGTTAGTAGTTTGCCGTTGCTTAAATTGCCGATGCTTCCTCAACCTGTGAATCTAGAGGCCATCAATGTGTGAGCACTCTGATGCTGCTTTGCAAACAGGCTTGTCTTGCTTGCACAATAGACCCCGTAGTAATCAATGCTTGCTTCGTATCGGAGACGCGTAATCAGGATCCTGGTAGAATAAGCCACTTTAGTGCATCGGCTCTGCCCTCAAGATATTTCCTTCATGCACTCGACAGTAGCCAACTAGCTGGTTAGCGCCGAGTAACTAACTACCACATTAAACGACAACCATACATTGGATTCACATCAATAGTCGTTTGTGCCCCATAAGGTCCCATAAGGTTCAGTCAGTAATCGGAAAGGGGGAAGCCACAGTGAGAGCTGTCTATCCTCTCGGTCGTACTGACTGTATTTGGAATACCCAAAAAGACCTATTTCACCGATAAGTCAGTAAACTGCTTGGAATGAGCCCAAACTTCTATATCAAATTGAAATGGTTAACCATGCCTTTTCTCGACGAATTTCGCATCCGCCCCTCCCAGACAAAACGAATAACAGTGACTGTATTCCTACATCAATTTTCACATATCTGCTATTTTCTTATTTACTTTCCCTCTATATCGCTCCCCATACTGCTTCTCTGCTGTCGTTTAAATTTAGTTTTTGGTGACCAATTCGAACCGACGTAATCCACTCCTACCGGCCCTGTCCTTCGTTCCCGGTCTGTCGCTGCAAATCGAGGTTGCCTTGGACAACCTTGTGAGTCAGTTCGATCAAGGACGTTTCGGTCTACAGTTGGCCATTTTGTCGAACGAAAGCCTGTTCAATTCTGAGGACTACGTGCTACATTCGCTGCTCACGATTGACGATGAAGTCACCCCGGGCATGTTCGAAGTTAGTTTTGTATTGCCCACCCCGACGCCATCGCCCTGCGCATCTGGTGTTGGTACTCCTAATTTGCTCCGTTTTTATCACCTCATCCGCTCTAGTGTCATTTTTATTCACCCCACGGTGCTTAGTGACCAGTTTCTGTTCGAGATCGGTCAGAGCTGTTGATATTCCTAGCTGTCCTCAGACTAGGTTCTGCGGGGTCTGAATCCAGACTGTGTGCCAAAGAAATCATGATACAGTAATCCTTATGAAAAAGAAAAACGACACATGAGTTGCATGTGGGCGGAACTCTGTCAGGTTTCCCAGGCCACCCCCACGCTTTGTGTTTGAATGATTCTAGTTAAAAACAGAAAAGTAGTTTGTCACGGTTATCGTTGCTCAGTCGAAGTGTCCTTGTAAATGAATACCTTACCTTGTAATTAAAACAAGGAGAGTTTAGGTTACTCAAAAATGGGCTATTTGCGCGCGCGTGCGTTCCTCTGCCGTTGATTGGTTTTTAAATTCTCATGCACGGATCTACACAGACAGTTATACCGCTGTTATTTTTGTCGTTGAATAATCGATTGTCGAGT